CGGTGCGGCTGTTCGAGACGTGTTTGTCGGTGTTATCACATTTTTTACGGTTTGAATCGCGTGCATCGTATTTGGTTTGGTGGGTTTTCCGCAAAGAAAACGTCGCGAAAGTATTATAGTGTTTGCGGTGCAAGTGTTAGGCTTGATCCCTGAAGACATTTTTGGTTTGAGCTAATGAATTTTATCGTGTTTCACTAAGGAGTCCTTATGAGTCATAATCGACAGCACCCAGGGTCTCTTACATTCTAGGTGCCAAAAAAATAATTAATAACTTTGTGATGTGAAAATAAAGGGATAATTTATGTTAAAACGGAAAGGTATTATCACATGTTTGTATATGTTGGTTCAGCCAATCGAAAATACGACTTACCAATATTGAGATCTTTTTGATTTTATCAGATCTATTGTCGATTTGGGTGCATTACCGAATATCGATGTAAAATGGTGATAAAAACAAATTTCACCATTAGAGTGTACCACACGAAATCAAGTTTCTCACAAGAAAACTATAGATTTAGATCTTAAAGTTAACGTATATTTATAATTCGTACACACTGCTAAAACCATTTTGTAAAATGACCTATAAAATCTGTAATTCTGAGTGATTATCAAGAAAGCTGATGTATACAAAAGTTATTCATGCGAAATCGACCTTTCCAGGGGGTACTTTATTAATGTAGAATAACGAATTCTTTCTTATCTGTTGAAAGAAGATTTACTTTATCTAAAAAATATCAATCACATAGCCATTCCAGATGATAAGACTTTGAAAATCAAGATTTTATTTAAATTTTATAACATACTTACTTTTACTATTTTCTTGATCATTTAACTAATAATTAGTAAATTAGATGATCTTATAAATTAGTTTTAATATTCTTTAAAGATAAATTATAATATCTAAGTTTAGAATTACACAGATACTACGTACCACGCTGTTACAAACTTACTGTTAAAAATAACGGACATTTCTTGGTACTTAAGCGTAAACGTGTTCAAAAGAGTAAATTGATCCGATCAATAAAGTTCTACAATGATTAGTAATAAAATCGAAATCACCGAATTTTCATAATAATCAACGGAACAGGTAATGGATATTCTTAACT